CAGACAGAGGGGCGCTCTCGGAGAGTCAGCTGCTCCGACTGAGCAGCTCAGAGGAAAATGGGCAGGCAGCGACCCTGATGGAGATGAAGAGAGAGTTCTCTGAACCCACTCTTAAGGAAGGCCTACCCCTCAATACCTCTACCTCTCGCTGTGTATGGGGGCGGGGTGGGATGGTAAAGGAGGGAATTTTTTTTTTTTTTTTAATTTAAGGCATGGCTGGACACAGTGCCAGCTTCTGCCATAGCACAGAGAGGATTCCAGGAACACGGGGTAGGAGACAGAGAGACGGTACCCTGAGACCGTACACCTGCCTGGTGCTGGAACCTGACTCAGATGAGAACCAGAAGAAAGGGGGCCATGACTCTCAGTGTGGGCTCTCCTTAAAGTGTGAGCCGCCAGCCAGAGAAATGACTGCTTTCCTCCATTCTTGAACACTGGCCAATTAGCTGTTAATTAGTGTGTGTATAAATTCCAGCAGGAAGGCCGAAAATTCCATCTCCACTCCAGCAATCAGCTTCCTCCTCCAAAACCGGGCCTTGCCAGTCTCCCAAATAAACCCCTGTATTGCACAAAACGTGGTCTCTGCCCGGGCTTCAGAACAGCCAGGGGCAAAGAGGTGGAGGGAGACACACTCACAGCTCCCCCCCCACCAACTAGCTGCAGACACATTGCCTTCTACCCTCTTCTGTGGCAGCCTAATGCAGAGCAACATGGGAAACAGAGATCCCAGCATTCTCATTAACCCATCAACTGAGAGCTATGAAGGATTTGGGGGCCTTTTAGGGTCAAGGAGTTAGGAATGCTTCCAACACAGACTTTTAAGAAGTACACACCTAGGGGAGGGAGCAACCACTTGCTCGGGATTCCTAGGGACAGGGGTACAAAGGCTCTGAGAAATGAAAAAGAATGGCATCGGGGACGGAATGGCAACCACTTCCACTGGGCTGGAAGGCTCTGGAGCATCAGAGACTAGAAGAACAAGTATTTAGTGAACGCCTACTATAACCAGGCTGTTGTTCTAGGCCCCCCAGGTAAGCACTCTGGTGTGGAGTTCTCAATCACAGAACAGGGATCTTAAGTAAAAACATAAGTTTTGCAAAGAGAACCTGCTAATGGCTGTTCCAGAGGGAAGGCATGATTCCCAGGACAGGCTGGGTGGTCAGGGAGAGCCTCACATGAGCAGGCAGGGCTTGACAGAGGCAGAATAGAATTTTTCTTCATCTCTGGCCCCAAAGTCACCTGAGGAACACTTTAAAAAAATATATAGATTCCTGTACCCCACTCCAGACCTACTGAATCAAAAACTCTAGAATGTTACCCTGGGTAACATTTTTTTTTTTTAACAAAAAAAGATATTATAATTATGGTAACCTTCAAATGCATGCAACAGTACATAGGATAGCAAACCGCCCCCCCCCACCGTATGTGCACATCACGCGGCCTCAGCAATCAGAAACTCAGGGCTGTTTTTTTTTTTTCTCACCAATATCCTTATCGATTTCCCCTCCTCCAGTATTTTGGAATCTCAGTACCCTTTAAACCAGGGACTCTGAGGCAGTCAGAACATGGGCGTGAACTGGAAACCACTCATTGATCAAGACCCAGATTGGGAGCAAGGGATTTCTAGGGACAGGGGTACAAAGCTTCTGAGAAATTAAAAAGAATGGCATCGGGGATAGAATGGCAAATAATCTGGAGCACCTAGAGGGTGGGATACATGGTTGGCGGGGACAGTGATAAGGGTCACATGATCACTGGGGGCCACCAGGGCCCTGTTGTCACAGACTGTGTCTTTGTCAGAGACACAATAAGCCACCTCCTCTGGGTAGGAAAAGCACCCCGTTCCCGGGCTGAAGTCAGCCACAGCAGCAGAGCTGGCTGAGACGCCATCCGCTGCTCACTGCCTGCTGCCCTCCGCTCCTGCGCTGTGTGCAGACCACACAGCTGTGCATGGCAGGTCCAGGGCACAAAGGAGTCGGAAGGAGGCTAAAAAGGGACGTGTGTGACCACTGTGTGATTTGAAAGAATGCTGGGCTGTTGTGCAGGGGTAAGGATGGAGAAGAGGGCAGGGAACCGAGAGGCAGTGAGGGACTCGAGTCTGTGAATGACTGTAAGCTCATCTGGGAAGGAGGCAGCAGGCCCCTGAGAGTCCTTCCTGAGAGAGAGTTTGTGGGGAGAGAGCTTGTTTGGGTTCTGGGGATAACTGGGGGCTGGATGTAGTAACGCAGGGTCGCAGGGTCGCTGGCACATAGGAGTCCTCTGAAAGCATGCATGTGCGGGAATTGCTCAGGCAGTGTATTTAGGGTAGGGGGAAGGAGGGATGAAGGCCCTGGGGAAAAGCAACATTGAGAGAATAGAGGTTGGAGGGGAGCAGCAGCCAGGCCAAGGGACACAGAGACTGAGGAGTAATGTACAGGGAGGTGGGAAGGAGTGTTGCGGGGAGGGGGGGAGGGGAAAGTGTGGCTCCTAGAAGCCAAGAGAACAAAGTGTTGACAGGTGTGATGAGAGGGAAGAAGAAAGGGGAGAGGCAGACCTGTAAGGGAGAGGTGAGTTTTGGAGTATCTGGGATGACACCTCAAAAGAGTTTGGACTTGGACTTGGACTTGGAAAGACAGGGTGACCGGTGTCATGGTGTACAGCGTGAGCTTGCTGATCAGTCACTTAGTCTTCCTCGGTCTGCCACTGATGGAGGAGGGCCTTGGACAAGCTACTTCAGGGAAGGCTCAGAATCCTTGCCAGGAAACTGGATGACTGTACCCACTGTAATAGGGACGGAATGGCGATGGTGTTGCAAATGATGGAGGTCCTTCTTCCTGTCATGGGCACCCGACGGCGCACGGCCTTGCAGTGAGCTCTTCCCACACATAACTCCCGTATTTTGAATGGGCTTATGAGCTGCTTTGGGGCAGAGATTAGGGATTTAAGCTAATTGGAGTCAACAGTCACTTGTTGACTATGTACTATGTGGAAAACAAGAAGAGCGTGTAAAATTAGATGAGTGAGGGGTTTAACCAAAAAAGTGATCCTTAAGGGAGTCTGCAACTCAGTGAAGGACCCACAGTGATGCCCAACGCTAAAACGATGGGGACAGTGGTAGGCACAGCAACGGCAGTCTCAAATCCCATTCATTCCCGAATTGCACATGGAAGCATGCGTGGTGGAGAAACTTGCTCTGGCTGGCGGGACCAAGCTTTGTGCAGGCAGGCAGTACTGATGAGGCCTCTGGGCCATACAGAGGATGGCTAGGAGGGCATAAGCACAGGCAAGGTGGGAACAGGCAGGTGGGTCTGAGAAAAGCTGAGAATGAGAACCTTGGCGGATTCAAAACAAGGTGCTGTGGGGAGTAGGGAGAGAAAGGTGCACCCGGATGTAGCAGACACAACCTAAGCGGAGCCCCAGTGAGTCACACTCCCATGTAATCTCATAATCCCTCCCTGAGGAAGGGGGAAGCTGGGACTTCCTCTAACCAGAACAACGTGGAAAAGGTGATGACTTGTCACTATGGAGATAACATGACATTACAGGCAAAGGAATTGTGAGGACATAATGAAGGTCCCTAATCATTTGAGCTAAACAAAAGGGAAACCATCCTGGGTTGGCGAAATCGAATCAGCTGATCCTGTTGAAAAGGGATCCAAGCCTTCCCTGGAGTCAGAGACTCCAAGCAGGAAAGGCTGTTCCTCTGGCTGGCCTTAAAGAAGCTAGCCACGTGCTGCAAGGAGCTGAGTCCTTCCTACTGGCATGTGAGTGTGGAAGAGGGCCCCAAACTTCACACAAGCATGCGGCCTGACCGACACCGTGATCACGGCAGCGAGACCCCAAGCCGAGGGCCAGCGCCCACTGTGCCTGAACTTGAGGACCACAGAAACGGGGGCTAATAAATGGGTGCTGCCTGAAGCCCGTAAACCTGTGGTCTTTTGTTATGCAGCAAAAGGAAGCCAACAGAGGGACGCAGGATGTGGGCAGCCATGCCAGGCCGGCTGAAAGGTCTGGATTTTATTATGCAGGCCACAGGGAGGCACTGATTACTTCTGAGCAGAGAAGACACACATTGGAGGAAACTAAGAGTCATCAGTAAAAAGGAAGCCTGGTGTGAGCGTTGGTCAGAGCCCCTCAACGAGGCTTTAGTCAGAGCACTGCTCCCAGGAGAGGGTCAGGAAGGTTCTAGTGACTAAGTTCTGGGTTGAATCCAGCCAGCTATTCTACCCAATTGAAAAAAGGTTGGGGGTGGGGGAAGGGAACAAAAACCAAGTCAAGAAATTGACAGTCATTGAGAAAACCTTAAGGCACTTTAGCGTCCTTGTTGCTAACTATAAATATTTACTCCTCCCAGAATTCCTGACCTCACAGAAGAGCCTGCGTAAATAGCCCCACTCTCTTACTGGAAAATTAGCGTGTGAGTGAGTGTGTGTGTGTGTGTGTGTGTGTGTGTTCTGTGTTTTCTTGGAAGGGGGACAGGGCAGCAGTGAGGGACTGGATGATGTGCAGGAACTTCCTGTTGGATATTGTCTAGCTCCCTTCCCTGCCCCCCGCCTCCTCCTCCTCGAATCAGAAACCCAGATACCCCTGAGCAGCTCCTCTGATTCTATCTGCTGGAGACAACTAAGCCAAACAAACTCAGGAAGTGGCAAGAGGTTGGGAAGGGGAGGAAGTTCGTGGCACAGAAGGAAAAAGTAAAGAGAATGCCCTGATGTCGAAGGAAGAGGGTGGGGAGAGAGAGAAATGAAGGTTATTCCAAGGTCGCTAGGCGCCAAGACTTTAAAATGTTGTGCTTGGGCTTTTGATCCAAACTGGCACAAACAGTGGGTCAGATCTCCTGAGGCTATTCAAATATTAACATTCACAGTGATAAACAGCCCCCAAAAAAGTCCTCTGCAAGCAAATTAGAACAAACAACTAATCTAAAGCGGGCTGCTAAGAGACCGGTTGGGCAGGGGCCAAAGTCAGTTCGAGTGTCTGGAGAATTCTTATTTTTTCGCTGTCCAGAAGGGAAGAGCTACCTGTAGATGACTCCATGTTGGTGGAGGAACATGAGGGCTGACGTGACCTCTGCAGCATAGAACCGGGAACGAGGCTCATCAAATTTTCGGGAGCGCTGAATCTGGAACATGAGGTCGCCACCATTTACATACTCCATGACGAAGAAGAGGCGGTCCTGAAAGAAGAGCAGAAAATGCCATTTAGGTGATTCCACTGCTGCTGCCCACACAGGCCAGAGAGCGTCTCCTGAGCCCAAACTCAAGGGGGAGGAAGGTGCAGCGATGGCTGAATCCTGATATCACACAATCCAGACAGAAGTCAGAAGACAGGTAATCCAGACAGCACACGGATTAGGGTAGGAGGCATGATTTTAAATCTCTTTCTCTGTTTTACTTTTATGAACATCAGCTTAGTTTAGCGGAGGAAGCCCTAAACGGACAGAAAGGAGACCTGGGTCTTTGATTTCCGTGACGACCCTCAAGTGTGTCCTTGGTCAAGTCTCTGTCCCTCTGGAGGCTCCAGTTACCTTTATATGTGTGGTAGGTTGGATAATGGCTCCCCACAGGACATCCGTGTCCTAATACCTTCACGTGAGAGTGTTACCTGAGACAGCAAAAAAGGACTTTGCAGGTGTGATTACAACAGGGATCCTGAGAAGGGAAGTTATTCTGGATCACCCAGGTGGGTCCTCAGTGCAATCACAGGTGTCCTTATAAGAGAAAGGCAGGGGGCAGATTTGAGAAGCAGGAAGAAGGCAACGTGGCCACAGAAGCAGCGACTGTGTTGTGGCCACAAGCCAATGAACATGGCGGCTACTGGAAGCTGGAAGAGGCAAGGAGGGACTTTCCCCCGAGGGCCTGCAGAGAGAGCAGGCCCTTGATTTCAGCCCAGTGACACTGGTTCCAGACTTCTGGTCTCTCGAACCATGAGAGAATAGATTCAGATTGTTTGAAGCTCCCAGTTGGCGGTAATGTGTGAAGACAGCCCTGGGAAACGACTTCATGGTCCCACGGGCTTTTGAGGCTGCGAGTGCCCCTTCTGCGGGCCGCTCTTCACTCTGGAGGATGTTCCTACTGGGATTCCCATCTTGCCATATTTCCTATGGCTTCTTTCCTCAAGGTGGCCTCCAAATGACCCAACCACACTCCTACATCATCGAGGAGGGGCCTTCTGTATCTGCACTCCACGCTAGTGTGTGAAGCAGACGGATAGAAGTTCACTTTTGCGGTTTCTTGACTACTGTTTCCTAAGCCTGTAAGGTGTGGGGCGCTGTGCTAGGCGGGAGGGAAAGAATGTCAAGCCGGCACTGTCCCTGCGGAACTTAGGAGCCAGGACTGGAGATGGGGAAATGGGCAGATGGGCACAATGAGGAAAACAAAACAGGAGCAGAGTGTCTTAAAGATGAAAGGGCAAGAAAAAGTGGGGGGAGCTCTCTAAACTGGGGTCCACGGAGGATTCTGGACAGAGCTGGGGTCTGAGATAACAAGGAGGCGGGGGAGCAGGGGTGGGAACAAATCCCAGGATTTGGGGACAGGGCGAGAATGCTGAGGGCGGGGGTTGAGTGGGTCAGCGGGGGAGGAAGGCTCATGGAGCAAAGGGAAAACAGTGATGCTGGGGAGGCCAGAGAGGTGAGCACATTCTCAACACATAGACAGAGTCCAGTGAAGCTGGCAGGAGGAGATGATCATGAGCCTGCTTTAGTCATGAAGCAGCTGTGATGGCATATTTAATTCATTGTTGACATCGCTTTGAAAGTAAGTCCACTCTTAAGAATTGTTATGAATTCAGACTACCTCCTGCCCCAGTCATCTCCAGATTCATTCAGGCTATACCAGTACTCACAAAGGGCCTACGGTCTAGGCTCTCTTCCATTTGTCTTCCTTCCCCTTCAAGGCCTGCCCCATTTTCTCCCCAGAGTATGATTCTGGACCTGAAAGTACACAGGCTGCCTTGCCCACCATTCCCTCCCTCACCCATTCCCCACGCAAATCCTCATCACAACACTCGAATGCTCAGGCCAACCCCAGCCCCATGAGACCAGAATTCCCGAGGGTGGGCCTCAGGCCTCGGGGGTGTGCAAAGCTCCCCGTGGACCTGCTGTGTGCAGCCTGGGTTCAGCACCACTCTTCCATCTCGTTCTGCCAAGGTGTTTGGTGTCTGAGAGATACATGACTCCAAGTCATTCAGATTTTCCTTCTTCTGTTTGCAAGGATCCCCCAAGAACACAGGTTCTCAAGCTTGTGCCCTGGAATCACACAAAGACTGGTGAGCACACAGATCCTGCCCCTCACCGCTGAGTTTCCGATTCGGAAGACCTAGGATGGTGAGTCTAAGAAGCGGCCTCTCCCACACATTCCCAGGTGATGTCAGACCCCTCGCTGAGAACAGCGGTGGGGGGGAGGGTCCCAGGGCGCTGGGGGCAAGACTTCCCCAGGGCAGGTGCCGCTGCCTCCCGCATAGAGCACTGCCCTGAGCTCCTGAACCACAGCACCAAGAACAAGCACTGGGACGCCCTCCCGTGGGCAGCCACCAGTTGCTTGCGGGTCGAAGCAATGATGCCGTATTTCCTCCGCAGCTTGTGGAAGAATGCAAAGCTTTTGGGAGGAGGAAACCTGTCTTCTCCACACCCTCTCTGCTCACTGGCTGCTTTTGATTCCACTGAACCTAGATACACAGCATTTAAGAAGAACAGGGTCTGTGGAGTGACAAGAGCTCCCACCGAAATCTGTCACTTGCTGGCTATGTGAGCTCAGGCACATGACCTGCTCCCTGTGTTCGGTTTGATAGAGGACCTGCCTTACAGATGTCTTATGGGCATGAGCTTAAATGTTAAAGTGCCTGGCTCACAACGGGTGCTCCCTGAAGGTGGTCTCATCCTATCATCACCGATGGCAGGAGAACTACCATCACCAAGTCTTCACTTCCTGTCCTTTTAGCACTATTTTCCCATGAGCCCTTCCTCTTTCCAAATATCACTTGGCTCCCTTGGCTTTTGGGCTGGTTTCCTCCCCATGTCTCGGGCAGGTGGTCTCGCGTCTGCTGATGCAGGCTTCTCTCCCCATCCATCAGGCGCCAGAGTCCCTGGGGCCAGCCTCTGGGGCCCTCCCCTTTCCCCGTTGTGTCCTCGCTGAGCAGTCTCCTCCACCTCACAGAGCCTAATGCACCTCGCTGGGCACATGTGACCCACGAATGTCAGCCTCCACACCAGACTTCCCCTCCAAGCTGCACACTCCTTTATCCAACCACGTTTCGGACATTTCCCTCTAGATGGTGCAAAAGCACTCAACCCAACAGGTTTGAAACTGACTCGGTAATTCTACCCCCACCCCACGCCTGCAGCAAACGGGTCCTCGTCCAGGATGCCTGCGTACAAGTCAGAGACCGGACAGTGACTGCAAGTACCTCTCTCTCCCTCATCCCTCACATGTGTTGCCAAGCCCTGCTGCTTCTCCCTTCCATGCTTTTGTACCATTCTGCACCTGCTGCATTTGTCTACCTCTTTCTGTCTCTGCCCGCTCAGCTCATAGCCACCATTCTGGTCCAAGCGGTTCTCACCTCCTGTCTAGACTCCTGCCAAGTGCTTTCTTCCTAATGCCCCACACACTGCCCACCCCCAGCAAATGACGATCACATCACAGGCAGTTATCCTGCTGAAATAAAAATCTGAGTGTAAACTATCCCCCTCCCTTCTCTCTTTCTACTGATTATTCTTTCAAGGGCTTCCTATTACTCTTGGAATAAATAGAAAACTCCTAAATATGGCTGATGGCCTCTTATGATCCACCCCACCTACCTTCTTCTGAGTCCCCTCCCTTCCAGCCATCCCTGGCTCCCTCTGTCCCAACAGCAAATTCCCTCTTACCATGAGGCCTTTCCTCATGCTCTTCCCTCTGCTTGGAATGTTTCCCAGCTCCCTTCCCCTGGTTAATCCCTCCTCATCCTGGAGATTCCAGTATAGCCCACATTTTTTTTCTTTTTCTTTTTTTTTAAGAAGCTGTCCCTAACTTCTCTGACAAAGTCAAATCTCCCTATTACATGCTGTGTTCTCCCCTGTAGCATTCAGGAGGTCTGATTTGTGTAACTGACTCGTGTCTTTCTCCCGCAGCTGTCTGTTTCATGAGGGCAGGAACTGTTAGAAGTTCTGCCCTATTAGTCTGTGAGGGAACTAGCCTGACCCCAAAAGAAAAGCTGCCATAATCCTCTTTAAAAAACAATCATCACGTGGATGGAAGGATGAAAAAAGGTTAGGGGGCTGCGTGGGAGAAAGGGAACCAGAGGGAACTCTGATTTCTGCCACCGAAAATTCTTACTGCTGAAGGAGCCAGAGACAAGTCAGCCTACTACAGACAGCCTCCTGCCTGGGGAATCTGGAGATGAGCGCCCGCTCTGGCCACTCTATCTGGATCGGCACCCTGCATTCAGTTACAACTCTGAACAGTTCTTTGGTTCCATGGGTGTCTTCACTTCCCAGTGAGATGATCCATTCCTTGAGGAACACGGTTTCTTCCCAGCAACCCCCGCCCCCACCCCCACTACCACTAGCAGGGAACTCCCTAACTAAGGAGATACTCGATAAAAATCTGCTCATCCAACATTCGCTCTTTGTGAACATCTTGCGGAAGCGGGGGGGATTCTTGTTGGGTTCATTTCTTACTGGATCTCCAGCAACCAGAGCTGAGCCTGGTGCACAGTGGGTTACCAGTGTGTCCCTGTTCAATGTGCGAGTTCTTGGACATGCACCACGCACGAAGCTGTAGTTGCTGGAAATTCAATAGTGAACCAGGGTTGGTTTCCCTGTGTTATTCCTTGGAGTTATTCTAACATTAGCTCATTTTGAACTTCCATTGAAACCTACTTTCTACTCAATATACCTCGGTGTGCACAGCCCCAAAGTAGGATCAACCCTTTTTAAACTGGGGGGGGGGGAACCAAAGTTTAAAGCCAGATCAGTTTTTCACTCCCCCTCCCTCCATTCAGGGAGTTTGGATCCCTTCTGACCTCCACACCTAACACATCTGAGAAGCATGTTTTGATGCAGAGTGAGAACCTCAAGTCATTCTGGGAACTGCTTAATTACATAAACTGAAATCAAAAGAAAGCTGGCAGATCCAGCAGCTACTCATTAATCCCCTCTTGGCATCAGCAGAAAACAAAACAAAACACAAACCCAACTTC